TCTGGGATATTGCGATAAGTGTTTTTGAAAACTAAACAAAAAAGATGTTTCAAGACTGCTTCAAGAAGCAGAAGAATGGGGTTTTCCGAGTATGTTAGGGAGTCTTGATCTATGGTGCACCGATACTTCACCCCAATGCCGTATCCGCGTATCTGATACATATCCAATACCGATACCGATACGCGTCCTGTGCGTATTGGGTCCGTATCCGTTTTTTTAACCCGGAAGGCAAACCGCCAAACTCAGTGGGGCAAACGCCGGGGAACGCTTGCCAGTGTTTTACTGATTATCCAAAAATACAATCGAGAGGGGGACCAGACCAAAACCTCTCAAAGAGTATCAGACTTATTTTTAAAAATGCCGATACTTCCGATACCCATATCCGTGAACCGATACGCGTATCTGACCCTATAACCCTCATTTCATACACGATATGACGAAAATTTAGTAGCCGTCTAAGCGACCACAAGATGTGGAACATTGATAAAGATGATTTAGGGAGTATGAAAAATATTGGAATACTATAATTTGTCATTTTATCGTTTGATGAGCCTTAATTGAAACAAGACTTAGATGTAAACGCAAATAGAGAACAAAAAATATTACGGAGTATTTGAATTTAAATCGAAATATCAGTACTATATTTTATTAGCCTAATCTTTGAAATTTTATTATAATAGTTAATTTTTTGTACTATTATTATTATTATTATTTTATTTATGAACCTCTGAATTATATATATTTGCAAATTATACCCTATATTTTTATTATTTATTTATAAATATACCCCTGTACCCGTATCCTATAATTTTTGAAATTGCCGTATCGCCGTACCCGTATGGCCGTATCCGCGTATCTGCTTATCCGTATCCGTGCAACATAGGTCTTGATTGTATGGATTGGCATTGGAAGAAATGTTCAATCGCATGCCAACTCTCATACTAGAGATTGTATGAGAGTTCCAATGAGTTAATTCCAAACGGTACACAAACAAATTAATGGTTTTAAACATGTTCCAACTCTCATATTACTGATTGTAGCTTCAAAATATTTGTGAATTTGGCATGCATTCTTTGGTATGATAGATACTAAAAATGACATCACAGTATTAGATAGATCTCTACTATTTGGTGGTATTATATATTAATGTTGTTACACCACCATGTAGTTATATAGTACAAGTTCATTTGATTGAAACTAAATCTCAGTCTGAAAGAAGATGATCGGTACAATTCTTACATGTTGGAGACTGCAGCGTGCCTAGGTTTGAGTTTCTCGCCCTATGTATACTCTTCCGCGCGCAATTGGGTTTCCATAAATATTTATGGAAACCCAATTTTCTAACACAAATATAAATTAGTTTAATTGTCTAAATTGTTATAAATATAATCATTGCCGGAGTGTTTTCGGAGTAGGAGTGCTTTTAAAACTTATTTCCTAAAAAGGAGTACTTTTAAATAGGGGTGGGCATATTGATTTTTAGTTCAGTTTTACCGGTTTCGGTTTAGTTCCGTTTGAAATGGATTGGAAGAATTATTACCAAACATAAACCATACTATCTTTCGGTTTGTTCGGTCCGATTTACTTCAATTTGGATTTGTTATTTTTTAAAAATATAAGAAGGTTTTATTGAATTTATTTAGCTTGGTTTGATTTTATTCGGTTTCAGTTCGATTCGATTTAATACGGTTTGGAAGAATTACTAACAAACTCAAACCAAATTACATATGATTCGATTCGGTTCGGTTTAGTTCGGTTAAACCGAACCACTTGGCCAACCACTACTCTTAAACGTATTTCCCAAATGATGGTATTTTTCGCCATGTCATCCCATTATCACTGCAATAATGGTACAATCACTACATCAGCTATTTCCCATCATCCCATCAATTCCATGTCATCTAATATAAGTGTTTAAGTATGTGTTTGAAAATTTTAAAAATGTTAGAGGTGAACAACAACTCGAGAACATTCAATTATTACTACATCTCCTTTTTGGATACTTGAATGATATAATAAAATGAGATAGCTTTTACCCTGTATTTATTGTTTCAGATCATATATTACTTCTTCCAAAATGAAATAAAAATATAATAAAATGCTAAATTCGATATATTCAATTAAGAAATAAGAACCTAAAAAAATTTTTAAAAGGAAATTAATATGCGATATGTAATTGAAAAATTATTTCAAATAACTCAAATATAAAAAATAAAAAATAAGTAAATTTATTCTAATACCTACCCTACCTTAAACTTAATAAAAAAATATTAATGTAATATATAGTAGAAGTTTTGCTTTACGAAAAAATTCTTATAGCAACTCAATTCAGCTCGACTTGACCTCACTTTGAATTTTTTTCTTGTAAGAACAATATTATATACCGACTGAGCGTGGCTCGACTCGGCCTCACTGTTATTGATTGAGTTCAAATAAAATGCTCGAATTTGAGTTCATAATGACCAAAATAATAGTATGGACTTTATGATTGACAAAACAAAATTTGAAATTCGTAAGGACAAAAAAGAGATCATATCAAATGGAACTAAAACACCCAAAGTGCCCGTCATGTGAGTTTTCTCACACTTAAAATAGATAGTAGTAAAGGGTGTAAGTACGAGTATCATCTCACATTCTCACGGAAAAAGGGAATCAAGAATTAATTAAATTCAGCGATTAAAAGAAATAAAATAAAATAAAATGCAATTGTGCGAGATTGGTTGTTGGAAAATTAGAATGTGAATACACCGATTAAACTAAGGGGTTCTTTCTAGTTAATGACGGAAGGGAACATGGATTGATTCCGGGGTAATCGGATTTCTGGCAGATCAGGCTTAATCACATGAAAATTATTTAATTGAACAACGTTGATCAATACTAAGTTCTAACCGCTCTCGCGGCGTAGAGTACAATAATTTAGAGAACCAGGCTGATCTCTCATGCGACAGATATCTAAAATTATTGTCAAAACGAACAAGTGTATGACCCATTAAGCGTTACTAATCTCTTAGGGAACGATTATGTGTGGGTGAAAGTGTCCTAGAATAAATTAGATCTCTCCTAATTTATTCTATGTGCAATTATAATCCTAGTGACCATCCTAGGTTACAAGATATATCAATTAAATCATTCATACACAAATTAAATAAAGATTCATGCAATTTAAACCATCAAGAAACTAGTCATATATCATGATTAACCCCTTCATCAATCTCATATCCTTAATTAAAACTACTCACAATTCATAATTGAAAAATCAATAGAATTGGGAAAGAAAGAATTAATTGTCATTAATTAAAAAGATGAAACTTACAAAAGAATTTCAATATATTGATGAACAAGTCTGAAAAGCTCTTTAAACTTCGTGCTAGGTACTCTCTCTGAGCTCTGTAACCTAAAAATAGGGGTTTAGAGGCCTTATTTATACAAAATGGGGAAATTCGGGTAAAATTAGGACTTTCCGGAGCAGGCACGTCCCTAGGAACGACGTGCCTAGCCTCAGTGCCTGCGGAAGAGTCGCGTCTCGGGGTCAGGCACGGCGTGCCTCCCTGATAGGCACATCGTGCCTGACTGGCAGTAGCTCCAGCGTTGTTTCCTTCAGCGGGCACGACGTGCTCTCTTCCTTTCCGAATTTGACGATGATTCCTTCAGTATAGTTGTAGATAATGAAGTCATCTATCTACCACAACTTACAAAACTGGATTTGAATCATTCAATAAAAAGATATGAATAAAATAGTGGAAGGTCGCATCCTGAAATCTCAACAGCGATTAACTGACTTCCTCGTCTGTTTTCACCTTGCTCCTCTAAGATTCTCGAAATGGTGTCTTCATATGATTTGTAACCCTTGAAGTTAGCTTTCATATGGAACTTGAATCATGTACAATGAACGTTTCTAAAAAAGATATGCTTGAACCATTGACAGAACGTCATCCTGGTCGTCGTTTTCAAGCTCTATTGGTTTAAGGGTGCAATGATGAGGACGTTGTGATCCTAAGTGGGGGTGATTGTAATATCCGAGATTAATTTAATTAAGATGATTAATAGTACTACTCATATAAACAGAGGTGCGTCTCCTTTTAAGGGAGCTCATCACCCAAGAACTTCAAAGTTAAGCGTGCTTGCACGAGAGTAGTCTTGGGATGGGTGACCCCCTGGGAAGTTTCTCAGGGCGCGCATGAGTGAGGACAAAGTGTGAGGTAAAGGCTCGTGGTGGTTTGTGAGGACAGTACTATTGGTCCGGAGTAACTACCTTGGGTCCTGCGGGGCCGGGGTGTTACACAATCCTAGAGCTCTTTTATCATCAAATTCCCGGTGGCCTCCAAACCTCTCTCGAATTCATCTTGACTAGTCCCGGTTTCTTCTCAAGCGCCGGTGCCGGACTCAAATTCCCTGATTTTGATTCCAAAAATACCAAACTCAAACTAACACCCGGTATAATATGATTTGAGCTAAAATTAGGACTTATGACGCCTTAAAGCTAGGAAACCCTTCAAAAGACGATGTCAACTCGTATCAAATGTGTGTCGAAATACGGACTTATCAGCCCTCAGCCCTAACATCTGCATCGTTCTTTCTTCATTGCAAAGGGTTGTCCGCCTCCCCTGCTTCTGCAAACCTCCATGGAGGGGTGTTTTTCAAACTTATTTTCCAAACTAGGGTACTCAAACCTAGGTGAGGCATAGGGAGGGAGAGATCTCAACATTGCTGAACTAGTACACTAATCCATTCCCTTGTTCAATTGACGTTTCGCCAGATATTTAAACCATGGGCTTGTTTGACAATCAGCGGTTAGCAGATTGTGTTAGCGGGTTGTAAATAGCGGATTGATTCAGCGGATTTGACCGGCGGATTAGTTTAGCGGGTTGCATAAAAATGTTTGGTAACTTAGCTGTTTTCTTTTAGCGGTTATAATTAATAGACAAAAAGACAAAAAAGGATATATTAGTCTATTTTTGTGTATATGGATAGCCTATGCCTATAAAAATATACTCCAAGTCTCCAATCAAACATCAGCTACCAGGAAGATTTGGGAAGTTAAAGAGGGTGCTCAAGCAAACATTTCATTAAACAAAAATCGGGCAATAAACAAAAATTAAGAGTACCTATACTGAACTGGGACATTACAACAAAAGTAAGAATAGTCCACACAGAGTATTTACTGAACTCTTCCATGGGCTCCTTGAAGAAGATGAGCAGGGATATGAGCATCAACGCCAGGCCCATCTTGGCGTAGAAGATGACCTTTCTCGGGTCGGATCGACCCATCCGCCAAGCGTTCATGGCGACGTCCGAAAGCTCTCCCATAGCTTCACAACCTTCGAACAAAGCCCAGAGCGGCAGAATTTCAGCCTATCTCTGTAGTCGAGAACAAAACTCGAGAGCTCGGAGGAGTCGGCGTTGCATCTGGGCGACAAAAGGTAAGGAAGAATTTCAGCCCATCTCTGAAGCTTGTGATAGCTTTCTTCTGCGGAAGAAGAACAAGGAAGGAGGTCTGCAAAGTGGAGAACAGGAGAATAGGGGAGTGTAAGACCTTGAATTAATTGCGCAGGTAGAAGCCGTTAATGGTAAATGCTACATTTTGCGGCGTTTTGTTTTTCGAACACGCCATATGCCAAACACTTATGTAATCAAGTAAGTCCCAAGGCGAGGCTCCTCCCATCCAATCCACATACATTGTTTCGAGGCTTTAGATAGGACTTTGAAAGATATTATGAGCCTGAGTGATCCGAATAATGAAAATTGGCCATTCGGAGAGAAGGTTGTTGTTATTGGAGGAGATTTCCGACAAATTTTTCCAGTTATTTCAAAGGGGGGAAGAGCCGATGTGGTGATGGCAACCATCAACTCTTCTAATCTTTGGAGTGATTGTGCACTTCGACATCTCGCGAAGAATATGAGATTACTTTCAACTGCTCCTGATGAAAAGAGTGACATTGAAAACTGAAAAGTTTGGTTCATGGATTTTAAAGATTGGGGACGATGATACTGGACAACAAGTAGATGAAGTTTCAGAAGTGGGAATCCCGGTGAATTTCTTATCAAGGCGAAAGATAATTAGTTAGCAGTTATCGTTAATAACACTTATCCTAACCTGCAAGAACGCCTCAACGATCCAACTTACCTGCATGAAAAAGCGATACTTGCACCTACTTTAGACGTAGTTCGCCAAATAAATGACTACATGCTATCTTTGATTCCTGGTGACCAAGCCACATACCTCAGCTCAAATAGCATTATTAGTTCAGATATTGGTTTGTGTCGTAACAGTGACATGTATGCAACAAAATTTCTTAATAGTCTCTCAATCTTGGGCTGCCTGATCACGAATTGCATCTAAAGGTTGGTGCTCCTATTATGCTCTTGAGAAATATAGACAAGTTGACGGGATTATGTAATAAAACCACGTTGATTCTCACTGAGCTCGGAAAACATGTACTAGAGGCAAAGATCATCACTGGAAGAAATATGGGGGGCACTGTTCACATTCCCAGAGTGTCATTATCTCCATCTGACGTAACAGTGTCTTTTAGTTTTCAGAGTAAACAATTTCCAGTTATGGTATGCTTTGCAATGAGCATCAACAAGAGTCAAGGTCAATCTTTATCTCAGGTCGGACTATAGCTCGAGAAAAATGTCTTCACTCACTGTCAATTATATGTTGTCATATCAAGAGTAAGAGCAAAGAAGGATTGAAGATTTTGCTTCGCTCTTAAGATGGGGGATTTTCCTCCAAGACCATAAATGTTGTCTATAGAGAGGTTTTCCAGAATTTATAAACATAGTCTTTCGATTTTTTATGCCATTTAGTTATTCTGATGTATTACGAATCTCGACTTTATTATTATACATAATATATTATATAATATTGTACGGAATTAATACATATTTCAATGTTTTTGGCAATGAGAATTACAAAATTCAAACGAAAGATATATTTTTTGCATATACACAAAATATGAAAAGAAAATGAAAAAGAAATGATACACAAAATTATAAATTAAATGACAGTATTTCATATGGGAGTTGCACCGGGGCAACACCTGGCAGTACAAAACTAGCTTAGTAAAGGGAATAAAATGAACATGTTTGACTCAAGAAAGTCAATTTCACAACTTAATTTAAGACTTAATTTAAGACGGATGAGTAGATGTTTTGGAAATTCACAAATGTGAAGGCACACAAAAACTGTAAAACAGGAAACCAAATCAACCTAATCCCTATATTAAGAGCACTGGTTGTCCTTGGTGACCTCAATACCCTGGGGAGAGTACTTGAGACCCCTGCATACCACTTTAAGAAGGGCGTATGTCGACTTTTTATCCGACCTGGCCATTAACTTCACCTCTAGGCTCGCGAATCCGGCAGAGTCGCGGGCGTTGAGAGCCGCGTCTTGTGCATGGAGATCAATGGCGGACCTAGTAATTACATTTTGGGTGTTCAAAATTACACATTTATCTTTTTAAAATACTATTAAGCAAATTATTACTCTAATTCAGATATACATATTCCTATTGTTTTTTTATTTTGGGTGTTGATGTGAACACCCTTGCATAAAGGACATCCGCCACTGATGGAGATCGAAGGTGAACAGATTGTCGGAGCTCCCGGGACGCAGCGGGGACGGGACGGGCAACGCGGTGGACGACGCAACCACCGCCGTAGCGAAATAGAGTGTCGTTGCTTCCGTGGAGTTAGTGGAGTCAACGGTTTTGATTTTGTTGGGGTTGGTGGCTGCGAGGGTGAGGCGGTCACCACTATAACCGATGTTTGTCATGCATGGTCGCATTCACGAGGTGGTTTTCACAGGTTTGCGGGAGGACAACGAGTGTATGTAATTAAGTGGCCCCCAAAATGAACCCCACAGTTAAAAGAACAGTGATCACACAGCAGCAAGTCCCCGAACCATGATCGGAATCGCTCGCCATTATAATGCGATCAAATCGAGCCAAGGCCGGCTGGCGGAAGCTAGAGATTTAAATTCTAAATCGTTTAGTAATTTAAATATTGATGTCTCAAATTATATATAGTCAGAATTTGGCTGCGACATTTTATAGCTAATAATGGATTGTACTATATTTACGTATTCAATGACAATTAAAAAACACACTTCATAATTCATAAATTAAACGTGGTGGTGGCGGCACGCCAAGTAGAGTAGCGGAAATTTTCAGGGGGTTATCAGTAAGGACAAAATAATACATACATTATTCCTATATTAATCATGAGTTTCTATTAATATATATATATATATATATATATATATGTGTATATATATATATATATATATATATATATATATATATATATATATATATATATATATATATATATATATATATATATGTAGTATAAAGATAAATCACACTTTCAATCCCTCAAATAATAGTTACATTGAAATGTAGTTCCCATGTTTTTTTATTTTGTAAATATCGTCTCTCAATTGTCAATTTTCTTCTTACGCTACAAATATTCTATTTACGCCGAAAACGTTAAAATCACATAAAACATGTTGAGTATTGTTGACACTTTTTGTTTTGGATGAAATGTAATATATTAAGAAATTATCCAAAAGTAACAAATTACATGTGTCAAAAAAGAACCATCTGAGCTAGTTAAATTAAACTATAATAGTAACTACCCCCACCACCACCACCGAGTGGCAAGGGTAAAGGATAGGAATTTTTTTCAACAAAAGAAGCCAATAACTAGCACGGGACAGGGACAGGCCCTGACTTAGTATCCAAATATCATCAAAATATATCAAAAACCTGGGCCACAAGCCAATAAAGGCCCGCACCCGGTTAACAACTCCAAAATCCAGTCCAATCTCATAATCCAAGCACCTAGGCTTCCGGGCCAGTGAAGGTTCACCCACCTATCTGCAGTCATCTGTAGCCCAGGCCAAAAAGGCCCAACAAAGAAGTCAAAGTGGAAAAGAGTTCAGCAGCAGGCCCCAACAAAAAGGGAAATTCTAACCACAACCACCAATTTACTAAACACAACCACAATTATTATTTCATTCTAATTATATCCTTTAAACAAAAAATTACCATTGCCCGTTTCAGCTTCTACCAACGAGAGAGCACAGTCTACACTCCATCTCTCTGTTGCTGAGAAAAGCCAGCCGCCCGACAATTTGCCCGAAAATTATTACATAATTGCTGCAACATCTATGCCTTTCTCTATAGTATACGAAACATGATACACTGAAGTATATAGTAATCTAGGTTAATAGGCTTTTAATTACAATCACCTGTTTTGATTGCATGTGATATTCTATGTTATTTTACACAGTTTCATTAGAATGATTGTATTCAAAATTGTCATATTATATTACCTGGAATCTCTATTTTTGTTGTTATGTTATTGTGTTTTGTGTATATCGTGATTTTATTGCTGCAACATCAGGACGTTTTCTCAGCATGTTGTCATTTTAGTATTGCAATGTCATCAGTTTTCTTTTCATGTTATTATTTTATTCCTACAAATTCATAAGCTTTTCTCAACAAAGATATGTTATATTCTTCTTCCGATTCTTATGTAGCTCAACAAAAATCTTGGCAATCGGCATCGTTCTTGGGCTCTAGTGCACCATCTAATGTTGGTGTTTGGCCACCACAACAGGTCAAGAAAAGGGTTCTGATTAGAAATCAAAAGAGGAGAAAGAGGTCAACATGGAATAAGTAAAAAAAAACTATTTGCATATCGTGCAATGAATTATGTTGTCATGATAGCTGGATTGTCCGTTGAAGAAGCTTCATAGTTTCAATATATGTACTCTTTTTTTCGTAACATTGTTACATTTCATCAACATCCATTTGACAATTATTGACAATACATTGTTCAAATTTCAGACGTATGTGCACTAAATAAGTTAAAATATGTATACATGTGCTTGTGTTATGCCTGTGTCACTAACTTCACACATTTAAATTGTGAATAACACCAGTTAATTTTAAATTCTATTAACACAATTTTACTGCTACAAGGCATTCATTTTAGAGCATTACACTCCTCATTTACTGCATTTTACTAAATAACATAACATATGGTGTTAGAAATCTTTTTTTGCAACACTCTCACACATTCCATAGCATTACATAATCTCAGCATTTTTGGTGCACTGCTCATACATTCAAGAGCATTGCACATCTAAATTTCTACTCTTTACTCGTGCTCATCTTATGCACCACAACAATACGACAACAAGTATGATGTCTGCCAATATTCATTTTATCCCCTATCGATCTAAATCATTTAAATTGCACTAAATGTCGCCAATTATGCACCACAATAACAAAAAAAGAACACAAATTTACTATAAACAATTCTTTCTCTTGTTTTATCGCAGTTTACGTCATTACTCTGCAACACATAAAACCCATTTTGCAATAACATGCCCTCGATTGTACATCAAATCCACCTGAATATAAAATCTACTTTCAGAGCCGTGCGGTGCTTGAGGCAGATGAGGCATTTGCCTCAGGGTCCAAAAAATTGTTAAAATTTTAGGGCCCACAATTTTAGATATTTCTTTAGTATATATATGTATTAAATTTACATATTGGGCTTCCTTTTTGCCTGTTAGAGCACCGGTTAGAAAGAACCTGCAGATATCAAATCACACTCACACACACTATGTGCTGATATATGAGAAGGGAATCATATTCTACCCAGGAACTCTGCTTTTGAATTACAGGAGGATGCCTTTATATATAATAGGCATTGAAACATCATTTAATTGGAACATTAAAGATAGAACTTTCTGGGAACTCTTTTCGTGTATCTAGCAACTCTTTAGTTTCCCACATTTATTTGAATTAAAACTATTTCCCAACATTGCCTAACCTTTGTCCGTTGACTCCGCTATTGTACTTCAAAAAGGAAAACCCAAAAGTCCCCAATTACTTTTGTTCGACCAGTTTAGAAGCGGACTAGCCATCAACGTGCAAATGGAAAAGGGTTTTAAGGCGATTTGCGATTCTTTTGTTCTAGCCTAGACTAATCGATCGACAACAGGGCCTTAG